GTTATTACTGTTTGTTATTATTAATATTATAACTTTATAATTTCAAATTTTTATCTTTAAAATGCTACTTTTTATCAATTTTTTGGGGTTTATTCTTTATTTTAATGAAATGAGACGAAATGAAAAATAAAAAAACAAATTTAATTTGGTTTAAACTCAATAAATGGTTGCATAAAACCAAGATTAATAAGATCAGGTATACGGAAAGTCTAGAGTCTAGACAGACACCATCTTAGTCTAGAGTCTAGACAGGTACCATCTTAGTTGCGATGTATAATGTCCAACAAATCAGCGACAGACATGCGTACCTCTAATTACGTTTCTTTCTAAACGGGTGACAGAAGAGGTACGTGCTTACTGGAAAAAATGTTTTTATGATTTACATACCAACTGTTGCCACAAACAGACGGTACATATTCCAAATATTAAAGAAACATATTAATCAGTAATTTGCTTTTTAAAATACTACAATGTTCCATGCGTTTTAAATATATGTTCCGGCGGTTTTCTATATCAACCTATCCTTCCTTATTTGGTCTCGCCTGGCATCCTTCGTTTATCACTGATTGTCAATTTGCAATAATTAAATTGCAAGTGGGCATGTCGAATTGAATATATAATTAAATATTTCATTTGACAAAACTGAAAAAAATGCGTTCTATTTGACTAAAATTGTTTTTTTGTGTACAAACAAAAGGCAAAAGTTTTATAACAAAATTTGTGATGTGAAATTAAGAAAGAAAGGTTAAGAAATGAGCCAAAAAGAGTATATTGATTAATGGAGGTAGTGTTGACAATTGAATGCTTCAATTACAAATTTTATTTTTGGACATTTTTACAATTTTTTCGCATAGATCTCTACAAAGGTAGAGTTGGTTAGGTGACATATCCTTCCTCACCTGATCAGTAGCAGCCAGACTTCAGCACACGCACAAGCCAACGCACGCACCCCATCGTACATACAAAACACTTGGCATTTTCGAACCAGGTTAGTGCGCAATAGAAACGGCGCAAAAATGGCACTTAAACTGTCTAAGCTAACTGGCTAACCAGGAAATAAGAGTTTAACAAAAATTAAAGTTAACAAGATAGAATTATGGCCATAAATGATTTAAAAATTTGTAGGACCGATGTAATTGTAGGCTTGATGGAAATAGATAATGATTAATTGAAACGCCCACACGCTGAATATTGTGACAAAACAAGCAGATAGGAGAACAAGTGCAAACGAATTAGAGGAAAAAGTCTTCTGAGAAAGTAGCGGAACGCGAGATTTCATTTAAGCTGCCTAATTATTATTATTAAAACACTCGCCGACGTAATGTATAGCACTACCATCAAATTGTATAAAACATCTCAGTGGTAGAGATGAATGTGAAAGTAATATTATTCGCAGTTTTAGTAAGTGTAGTAGTAGTAATAATGGCGGAACCATTGAAAGTATTTTAGTAGTAGCAGTGAAGACAACTGCAGCGACAGCAGTAGCGTTGGTGGCTGGTAATAGCAGTAGTTGTAGAAACGAGAGAGTAGTGCTAGTAAAAGTAATTTGTTATGTTAAAAGAGTAGTATAAAAAGTAGTAGTAGTAGTAGTAGTAGTAGAAGTAACCAGCAGCAGCAGTAGTAGTAATAGTTCAAATTATAAGAACTATTTATAATGACAACAATAAAGAATAGTGTCCCCACATAACTAGAGATTTTTTTTCATATCGTGACGTAAAAATATCGCAGCATTCACTCTCAGTGAGAAAAGAATTAAGAATAGACGTCATAGCCCATTCGTCGTGCTGTGTATTGTATGTGTTTGTGTGTGTATATGTGTGTGTGTGTATTAGTGTGTTTGTGCGTGTGTGTGTATGTGTGTGTGTGTACGTCGTACGTAATAGTACGGATTAATCCTTATAATCGTACATGTATATATTTAATTTTGTGGTGTGTTTGCGTTGTAGAGTGTGTGTGTGTGTGTGCGTGTGTGTGTGCGTGCGTGCGTGTGTGTGAGTGTGGCTGGTGAATTAACGTGAATGAGTTTTCAACCTCCAAAGTAGGATAGGAGGCCTAGAGCCTACAGATCCTTGAAAAGGTTTAATTGACGAAATTTTCATTCATTGGAACATGAGCATTCAGTATTCATCATTATTAATTAATTAATTAATTTATTCATTTATTAATTAATTTATTCATTTATTAATTTCAGATAATTGGAATTATGAAAGGACTTCTGACCACGGTATGTGTTGCGTTGTGTTGTATTTGCATTGTATTGTATTGCATTGTATTGTATTGTGTTGTATTGCATTGTATTGCATTGTATTGCATTGTATTGTATTGTATTGCATTGTATTGTATTGTATTGTATTGTATTGCATTGTATTGTATTGTATTGTATTGTATTGTATTGCATTGTATTGCATTGTATTGCATTGTATTGTATTGTATTGCATTGTATTGTATTGTATTGTATTGTATTGCATTGTATTGCATTGTATTGCATTGTATTGTATTGTATTGTATTGCATTGTATTGCATTGTATTGTATTGCATTGTATTGTATTGTATTGTATTGTATTGTATTGCATTGTATTGCATAGTATTGCATTGTATTGTATTGTATTGTATTGTATTGTATTGCATAGTATTGCATTGTATTGTATTGCATTGTATTGTATTGCATTGTATTGCATTGTATTGTATTGTATTGCGTTGTATTGCATTGTATTGCATTGTATTGTATTGCATTGTATTGCATTGTATTGTATTGTATTGTATTGCATTGTATTGCATTGTATTGTATTGTATTGTATTGTATTGCATTGTATTGTATTGTATTGCATTGCATTGAATTTTATTGTATTGTACTGTATTGTATGGTCTTTTAATGTGTTATAATGCATTTCAATTTATTGTATAGTATTGTATCCGCATTAAACGGTATTGTATTTGCGATCTTGTTTACTGGAGATACACATACTATTCACATACATGATGTATTTAATGGTGAATTTTTAAAATAGATGTTGACAACTGTATTTTAAAAAAATAACTGCGCCTATCCAAGCAGCTACAGAGAGCGGTTATTTTTTTACTGCATTTTCGGCGGTCGATTCACGTTAAATAAAATTTTTTTGATTTGATTTAGCGACGAACAAATGTTTGGTAATTAATCATAACCAGACAGACGCACGTCCGCATACACAAACACACACAGACAAGACACACACAGGCAAGACACACACACACACACACACACACAGACACACACACACGCAACTATATAATCTCAGAGGAACAAATATGTGCATTGTTCAACCACATACGTAAACTCATCAATGGCGTCAAGAAGTTTTGCAGTGTATGGCCCAAGGATGTGGAATGATTTGCCAACAGAGCTGAAAACAAATGAGATTAATGAAGTGATTTTTAGAAAAAGAATCAAAGCGCACTTGTGGGATAAAGCGTTTGTGAGAACTTGAACGAGCGCTATATAAACTCTACACATATATATATATATATATATATATATATATATATATATATATATATACGTAAATAAAAAGACGTAACGTAGTAAAATAAAACCGCACGTATAAACGAACATACAAACATGCATACAAACAAACATAAAAACAAACAAACAAACATACATACATACATACATACATACATACATACATACATACATACATACATACATATCGTAACGACAAATCAAAGTGTTAATCCATTTGTTACTTGATGTTTGACGGTTCAGTGTCATGTTTTGGTTTTAACATACATACATACATACATACATACATACATACATACATACATACATACATACATACATACATACATACATACATACATACTTTTTAATTACCATTGTTAGCGCCTTTGAGAATAATAAAGGGCGCTTTATATATAAATAATCTAATAATAATACAAACAAAAATATATACAAACAAGCATACAAACCAACAAACAAACAAACAAACATATATACAAACAAGCATACAAACACACATGCAAACAAACAAACAAATATGCAAACATGCATACAAACACACATACAAACAAAAGGACCATCTCATTGGTACGAACAAAGTCCTAACTGTAACGGAAGCAGGCAGTCACCAATCGAAATCACGACCAGCACCCTCAACACCAGTCTCACCCCTTTCGTCTTCAACAAATATGACGTCATCCCGTCCAAGATTGTAGTCACTAATAATGGACACACCGGTCAGTTAGAAAGTAGTGATGTGGTGATAAGGATGATGACGATGACGATGATGACGATGATGACGATGATAGTGATGATGATTTTGATGGTGATGATGATGAAAATGGTGATGGTGATGATAATTTTGAGGATGATGAGTAAATTGCTTTTTAATTCAAATTCATCCACGTACAAATGTCAAAAGTCTTCAAATAATTCATAAAGTTACGGTGAGTCTGCCAAATGACGTCCTAACAATAAGAGACGGAGGTCTGGACAGCCAGTACACGTTCGCACAGTTTCATTTTCACTGGGGCTCCAATGATTCCTACGGATCTGAACATCTCGATCACAATAAGGCCTACTCAGCTGAGGTGTGTGTGTGTGTGTTTGTGCGTGCGTGCGTGCATGTGTGTGCGTTTTTGTTTGTGCGTGCATGTGTGTGCGTGCGTGTGTGCGCGTGCGTGCATGTGTGTGTGAAGAGAAAAAAAGTGTGTTATTAATCGGTGAGTTTGAATAAAAATGATATTCAAAACGTGAACGATCGTGAAGCTTCACTTCGTACATTGGAACTCCGGCAAATATTCCAGTGTGGCGGAGAGTTACAATTACGCTGATGGTCTGGCCGTTCTTGGAGTCCTCATTGATGTACGTAATTGTATTGTACTCGTTCGTAGATTACAATAATAAACAAATAGGCAACTTTTCTTTTCATAACTTAAAAAAAAACTACCAAAAATTAATTTTCATCTTATTAGTCTCATCATCTCAATACATTAATTTTTCTTGAAAGTTTCATCCAAATTGAAATATACCAAATGCGATCAGGTTGCTCATGAAGATGATCCACGCATAAACCAGGACTTGGACATATTGACTGAATCTTTCCATTCCATAGAGTACCTCAACAATTGGACCAGCGTGGCTCCTTTCAAGTTGATCAATCTCTTTCCACCGGAGCGAGACTACTACAGGTATTATGGCAGTCTTACCACACCTGGATGCAATGAAATTGTCGTCTGGACACTCTTCAAAAATCCTATCTATCTCTCTTCAGTCCAGGTGTTTATTTTTTAATCTGATGGATAGTTTCACTAAGTCGCTCATCTTTTTTTTCACTTACTTTGATGAAAAATCTTAATTTATTTGTTAATCCACCTAATTTCGATGACTTCGTCATCCGCCATGAAAGCTTTCAAGATTCAGACACTTCCACAGCCCTGAAAACCCCCACGAGTTTGTGGAGTACTCCAACAGACCGGTCCAGCCAGTCAACGACAGGGTTATTTACTACAGCGGACCCTTTAAAACCATCTACACTACACCGGCTCTCACACCTAGTCAGTTCTTTCAATTTACAATTATAAAACTGTTATTGTTACTTCTGATAATTACAATAATTGTAATATTAAATCAATCATAATAATAATCATAATATTAAAATTTTGTAAAAAAAAAACAATGCACTACAAAAGAGAAGACGTTCATAAAAATTTCTTTGAAACAAAAGGTCAATACGATTTCGTTGATCCTGGCACGTGTGCCAGAAAGCTGATCACGATGAACATCAAGACGTGGACGAAGAACCCTCTGTATAAACCAGTCAACGTTTCAAACTCCAACACGGTACTCATGAACTTTTTGCTGAAGAACACCGGGACCGCTCGTACGCTTTGTTTCTCAAAATTTACGATGATTTTAGTTACTAAAACTTCGTTTCACAACATTTATTATGATTTAATTTAGTAAAACTTTATTTTATAAAAATGATTACGATGATTTTTTTAACTAAAATTATATTTTAAAAAATAAATATGATTTTACTACCTGAAAGCAGAGTTTTTTATCCAATTCGTCAGAATGTGAGAGATGTATTAACGCGCTGTGAAAAGGACAAAAATTAATTTGAAAAATATGTTTCACCGTAAAAATCATTACATTTTTAAATCTCGAATTTTAAAAAATTCAGTAACCATTCGACCGAAAACTCCCGAAACCAACCCGATAAAACTGAGTGGTGGTAGTATGGACTTTACTTACACGCTCCTGGAGATATTCCTCCTCTGGGGTATCGATCACAATGACGGGTCGCAGTACAGCATCAACAACGAATATGCCGCTTTAGAAGTGCGTCAGTTGCTAGACAAATCAGTAGTTTTTTTATCTAATGAAATGTACTTTCTGATTTAAAATCTTTATTTCACTTGAAATTTTTGTAATTTGTTATAAATGCGGAGTTAATTTAGTTTGTTTAGTGTAGTTTATAATGTTTTCAGTTAGTTTGTTAATCGTTTGCCACTCATTGAACATTCAACAAGGCGTTTACTGCAGGTTAAAATCATTGCGAGATGGTAAGTTGAATCTTTAAGCATGACAACCTTAAATTATATTTTTTTTCCAGGTACAACTACTTTTCTGGAATTCGCAGAAGTATTCGAGTTTCGAACAAGCCAGGCCGTATGAAGACGGTCTGGTCATGTTGTCAGTTCTCGGCAAGGTGACTTTCATCTTTAAAATCATTAAATTTGAAATTAATTTTTATCGTCCCGCTGTAACTAGTTTTTTGCGGTTCTATAAAATTAGATTGCAAGCTCTCACTAACCTCATTAACACATTCGTAACTTGCAGGTAAATGACAAGTCCAGCTCCCAGTTCATAAAGAACTTATACGAGAAAGTCAATGCCATCAGAAATCCAGGTTAGAATTGGTTGTCATGCGACGTTGCGGTACAAAAATAATTAGTTCTTCCATCCCAGTTACAAGTGCCATTGTAACAGATCAAAGCGTAAATGCTCTCTTGTCACAGCTTCAATCAACAACATAACAGTGTAAATAGTAATTTTAGTAATAGTTGTAGTAGTAGTAGTTACGGCAGTTTCGTGGTTGGCGGTGGTGGTAGCAGTAGTAGGAGCCAGAGTATTTGTATTTAAAGTAGTTTTCTAATTATTTACTAGAGAACATTTTTTCAACTCCAAACGACAAACAAAAAAAAACAGGATCCGAAGTGGAATTTCCGAACCTGACGCTCTCCTCCATCTTGCCAGCGGATCCAAGGTACTTTTCATTCTATGCACCTCTCACGTTCCCATTCTGCTCCAACAAAGTTCGAAGGATTGTCCTTTCTACTCCCATCTACATAGCACAAGCTCAGGTTTGCTACTCTGCTCTACACAGTGTTGTTGTTGTTTGGTGTTGTGGTTGTTGGCAGGAGTGGTTGGTTGTTGTTGACATTTTGTAGCATTTGATTTTGTTTTTTGTAACTAAATATCTAGCCATATTAATTAATTTATTTAATTATTTAAGTCTTTCTATGTTATCATTTGTTTGAGTTACACTTTTGGTGTTTTTGTACGTTCTGTTTTATGATTTCCGTAATTAATTTTGTTATAATTATCGTTATAGATTTTGTACTAGTGAAAAATTGTTTCCCATCAATATCCAGAAATGTAGATACAATTTAAATCTGGGCTATATTAAATATACACTCTGTTTATTTTCGTGCTATACATCGATTTAGTCAATATTGTGACACGTCATTTTCTTTCATTCATTCTTTCTTTCGTTTATTCATTCATTGGTTCTTTCTTTCGTTCATTCATTCATTCATCTATTCATTCACTTTTTCGTTTTTTCATTCATTCGTTCGTTCATACATTCATTTATCCATTTATTCACTTTTTCGTTTTTTCATTCATTCGATCGTTCATTCATTTGTTTGTTTATTCATTTATTCGTCTGTTCATTCATTCATTTATTCATCCATTTATATCATTTTCTTTCTTTTATTCATTCGTTCATTCTTCAATCCATCTTCATTGCAGACCTATAAAACCACAAGAACTAATCTTAAAACGAACCCATCATCATTGCTATAGCATATTTAAGATGTTTATTCTCCCAGGTACACTCATTGATTTTCTATGTCGATACCACCTGTCTATCTTCTCTAGTTTTATATTTCGTAATTTTTACCATTATCATCCTTCGTCGTTTCGATTGTCGTCGTTTTTATTGTTTGCATCATTCTTATCATCATCGTTAACATCACCATCATCATCATCATTATCATCATCTTTATCATCAACATCATTATTCCCATCATCATCTTTAACATCACCATCATCAACAGCATCATCATCATTATCATCATCAACATCATCGTCGTCATTATTATTATTATCATCGTCATCATTATCATCATCATCATTATCATCTTCTTCTTCATCATTATCTTCAACATCACCACCACCATCTCCATCATCACCAATGGTGGTCAGTTACAAGCCTTCAGGCAGTCGATACTTACGCAGAAGTATCAGTTTGTGTCGGCGACGCTGCCAGAGGCCGCTGTATCCAACGTCATCAGCTACTATAGCGCACAGCCTGGTCAGTGGGGCTATTTTTTTGGTAGTAGTAGTAGCAGTAGTAGTAGCAGTAGTAGTAGTAGTAGTAGTAATGGTATTATTATTAGTAGTAGTAGTAGTAGTGGTAGTAGCAATAGTACCAGTAGTAAAATTAATATTCATAGTAGTAGCAGTTGTAGTAGTAGTAGTAGCAGTGGTAGTAGTAGTGGTGGTAAAAGTAGTAGTAGTGGTGGTGGTGGTAGTGGTGGTAGAAGTAGTAGTAGTGGTAGTATCAGTAGTAGTAGTAGTAGTAGCAATAGTACCAGTAGTAGAATTAGTATTCATAGTAGTAGCAGTTGTAGTAGTAGTATTAGTAGTAGTAGCAGTGGTAGTAGTAGTAGTTTTTTTCATGAATAGCCATTTATCAAATTTTTTAAAAACACCTTCAACATTATTGCAGAAACAAATTTCCCCCTCAGTTCTTCATTAATTTTCAACATACACCTGTATATTCTTTTTGCTAATAGTGCTTTCTCTTGATTCATTCATTCCTTCACTCCTTCATTCATTCTTTCATTCATTCATTCATTTATTCATTCATTCATTCATTTATAATTCAATCAAATCACAATTCTCCCTAAAGTTATGTTAACTCACAAAAACATTAGTTCGCATTGTATTAATTCACACTAAATCAATTCCCACAACACATCAATTCACAACACATCAATTCAATTCACATCAGCATATCATAATTCACATCCGGTCATAATTCATCTTGAAGGTATACACGGTGAATGGAAAATTGCTGCCCTAACCATCGCCATGCTGTACGTTGCGTATCTCCATCAATTATTATTTTTCTTCTTTTAAATTGGTCTTCTAACTTGTAGAAAGAAATAACAAAGACACACGAATGCACATATCAATGTTTTAAAAGAATGTTTAAATATACATAGTTACACGTATTAACTTTAAATGGCAACAGATGACATTATTGATGACGTTTTAAAGTAGTTTAAAATAGCTTTTTAAGTAAAATTCATCTCTCCAACTTAAAGTGGACTATTCCCTTTTTTTGTACGCCCCTCTTGCGGACGATACCAGTTTATTTAAGACAAATGCACCTAAAACTTGATAGATGTACAATGTTTTTATATAATTTTTTTGCTTATTGTATAAATATGAAACACATGATTTAAGATTTCATTATTTCTAATGGCTACTATTATAAAATAATCTGAACTGAAAAGTTTTAGTACCCGCCATAAACTTGAATGTAATTATATAATTGCATGGCTTAATTTATAATTCATCAAATCATCATCAAATCATAATTCACCCTAAAGTTACGTTAACTCACGTGAATTAAAGTAAATTATGATTGAATGTGAATTATGATATGGTATGAATTGACGAATTGCATAGTAAGCTTAAAATTAACTTTCAGACAAGATGTAATTAATTTCGATTTTATTACAATTTGTAAAGAAAATAATGATGAAATATTGTTAATACATTTTATGATTATTTGCACTTGAAGTCTTGAACGAACATTTTTATGTGTTTTAAACCAGGTAAAAATAAATTTAGATAGAAATATTAATTTTTTTAATTTTTGTCAGTTTGATGAATGAGTGAAAGAATGAATGAATGAATGAACTAATGAATGAATAAATGAATGATTGAACGAATGAATGAATGAACGAATGAAAAAGCTAGTAAAAAAAATAAATTAATGATTTATGAATTAATTTATAAAAATTAATGGAAAGGCGTTTTTTTGTATGGGTGCAACCATTAGTGAAAGCATTTTCATACAATGGAACAATTGATCGAAAAAATGCGGTAAAAATAAGTGAGTGAGTGAGTGAGTGAGTGAGTGAGCGAGCGAGTGAGTGAGTGAGTGAGTGAGTGAGTGAGTGAGTGAGTGAGTGAGTGAGTGAGTGAGTGAGTGAGTGAGTGAGTGAGTGAGTGAGTGAGTGAGTGAGTGAGTGAGTGAGTGAGTGAGTGAGTGAGTGAGTGAGTGAGTGAGTGAGTGAGTGAGTGAGTGAGTGAGTGAGTGAGTGAGTGAGTGAGTGAGTGAGTGAGTGAGTGAGTGAGTGAGTAAAAAAATATTTACGACTAAACAACCCTACAACGAAACATTGAAACTGCTAGAATATCCAATATATTTAATGGCAAGTGTCCCAGTATTGGCATAACCATGATGAACAATCCTGTACACCCCCTCAGCCTCGTCAAGTGGAATCTCCCAGGATATTGTAACGTTGCTTAGTTGGGATTTCAATGTACAATTTCCGGTGAGTCCTGGTAGACGATCGTGACATGCGCTCTTCCAAAACATTCTGACGCGTAAAACCATTCCTCATTTATTTATTTATTTATTAAATAAATAATTTTATCAATATATACCATATTATTAATTTGTTATATAAATATATATTTTAATTAATAAATAAGTTATCTCTTGGATGACAGTGTGATTCAACTTTGAAAATGAAACTCCAAGTTTATACTTAGTCTCCCACGAGGAATCCAAATATTTTGTCGACCATGAGCTGTTCTCACTTTTCTGCACTTCTAGAAATGTCATGTCGGTCTTGAATGATTTTTAAATAGAAAAATTAGTAATAATACTAATACTACTGTTTCTACTAGTACTACTACTATTGCTAATAATGATAATAATAATTATAATAATAAAAGTAATAGAAATAGCAATAAAAATGATGGTGATGACAATGGCCGACCATTAAGTTGTTCCTCGGGTTTCCAGACAAGAAAGTCACATTGACCGTACTGCCCTGATGTGTGTGGGTGATGGTGATTTTGTTGGTGGAATGATTTTGTGGTAGAATGATTTTTGTGGTGAAATGATTTTGCCAAAGCGACTGTAGCCATGAAACAAACTTGAGAATAATTCTTGTGGACATCTTCGAGAACTTGTCCGTAGAACATTCCTTTTGGTTGAATGTCCAGCTTCAAATGACCAAGCGCGTCCGGTTGCTTGCTCCTCAAATCTGGAGGTGTTGGACCGCCGGGCAGTGATTGGTTCTAGTGGAGAGAATTATTTCAACCTTGCGAATGTATAGGTGCAATCAGTCTAATACATGTTTCTCAATAGTGTCGTGACATTTTATCAATGATTTAATTTTTTCAAATTAGGACAAATTTGTCTTTACTGTGACTAAAGCTCTGGCGATTTTTTCGAACTTTTGTATGTAGGCAGATAACGCGTGAGGGCCGAATATGTTGCTCGCCCCTTCGTATCTTTGTACCTTGACAAAATTAATGATTGATTTGTAAATAATTTGTAGTTTTTAATTAGTAATAAACCAACCAATAAACAATCACTTGATTGTTAAACGTTTAAATAAGTAAATAAAAGTTTAGCTCAATGAATAAACTGTGCGTCATCGTAATATTATCATTCGTTTGATTCGTTTCGTAAAACGCTTGTAATATCAGTTGAATGTGCAACTAGATAGGGGCTAAACAATTTGTAGTTAGTGACATCACATTAGTAAGAGCTGAATGAAAAAACAAATTATTTTGAAGCTTTTTACTAAAGAAGTAAAAAATATATAGCTTAATCTCATTCAAACAGCATTGCTAATGTAGATGGAACAATGCCGAAAATATATAACAAATAGACAATTCAATGTAACTAGCGTCATTCACTGTTTCACTCATCTTAATTGCATTTCATTTTTAGGTGTCAAAACAAATGGAAAAAATTAAAAGCGCTTATGATTGTGATTGATGCATAAAAAATTTTAAGTATAAGTGTTTGTAATAAATTTATATAATAGGTTATGCATAAGAAATAAACGATAGCAAACAAACCTGATATTCTTCGAAAGTGGTAAGATAGCTGCTGTACGAGTTGGCCAGACTGACCACAACCACATCTGCACTTGATGGCTGTCCACTTTCTATCAAAACCTTACATTTTAAGACGCATACAAACTCATACAAACATATATACATACAAACTCAAATTTAATATAAGAAAAATGACTCAATATAAAAAAGGTACGCTAAACATTAAATTTTAGAAAGGTACGCTATTTAACCAAAATCGATCGATGGATCGATCGATCGATCGATCGATCGATCGA